ATGAGAGTCATTTACCCGTTAAACCAGGGTTTGTTCTGTGTCAAAGACACAGAAGAGACCATCCGCCGATGTCGCTTATGTGTGTTCACGGAAGAGTTCGACATAGGTTCACAAGACGTGTCTAAGATTTTTAGCTGATTTTTGTACTGTCTGGACAAGAGAATCGGAAATAGATAATTCCCTAGTCTGACGGTAATTTTAGTTATGAATTATGTTACATAAGTGTTTATCGATCAGGTGTTTTCCACACGTGAATCTATTAAGCAGACTTATGTAAACAGACGTATGTTTCGTAAAGTCCTGAACTTCTCTCTTTGTCTCACCTCGAGTTCAATCTTTTCACCTCTTGGTTTCTGATTGACTCGCGACGACAAGGACTCTCTATAACTGACAGAACCCTCTCTTCTCTAGGAGGAAAGAGACGACCTCCCTCCAGGACACAAGGAGGGTCGTTGTTCCATATTTACTATTTTTGCTTGCTGGCCTTTCACATCCAATTCTATTCTCTCCATCTGAGCGATTTGATTTCTTCTTATATGTGCTGCCCTATTTTACCACTCACCTGTACCTGTGTGGTTTATTTATGCAGCCATGCTTCAAGTCTGTTGATGTCTGTTTTTTCTGTAATTAGGATAGACCGTGCTTGGTAGTTTAAACGTTTTAGTGCTAATACACTTTTTGATGCAGAACTAATAATCTGTTGTTTGTCCCCTAAACAGATGTATCATCAAGTGATAATTAATGTTTATTTCACTCTTGCCTTCAACTCCTAACCCTACAACCCCTCGCCCCTATTCCCCTTTTGTTGTTGTTTTTCTTTACTGGCTTGCAAAGCGCTTTGAGCACCAGGAAAAGTGCTATATAAATAACATTTATTATTATTATTATTATTAGGAATCACAGGGGTATTTATAAATGCTTTCTCTCTCCTCTGCCGCAGACTGCTGTATGGAATGTCCGGTGTGCAAAGAGGACTTGGCAGTGGGAGAGCCAGTCAGACAGCTACCCTGTAACCACTTCTTTCATTCAGACTGTATAGTACCGTGGCTGGAAATGGTGAGTCATGACAAAGAGGGTGGAACTTTGTATTATAAACTCATAAAATAGGTCCTTACAAGGATATAATATACAAGATAATAACTGCGCTCATGCTGTAATTATCTCATTGATTGTTCTTAATCGTTTTTCAAAAACAGTGGAAGTTGGAATAAGATGTGTCTGACCCTGGCTAAATAGGAGTAGTAGTTGTAGGGAAAAGTATTACGATAGTCATTCAGATCAATCGTTTGTCTTTTCATGAGCTTTGTGGAAAAGGAAAATGTAGAATATTGCCATCCTTTTTACTTGTACTAACTAATATCAAAGTAAAGTATGCAGTCAATAAAGAACAACGCTAAATGCAGGATTTCTTTTCCCAAGCTGACATTGCTAATATTAGCTGTGGGGAATTTTGCCAAGGGGTTTTTTGAGTGGGCAGAGCCACAACAAAAAAAGTTATTAGTCAACAGTTAGAAAAACATCGCCATTCAAGTAATTGTTCATACAAAAATCCCAAAAGACTTCCTGCTTTTCTCTTTATATGAAACTAAACTGACAATCTTGGGGTTTTTTACCGTCAAAACCAGACTGAAAAATCCTGCCATTTAAAGTCAAAGAACAGCCTGAGCGTCTGTTAAAATAAAGAGTCCACTTGATAAACTGCCAAAAACTAATGCCATGTACTTTCTGTTCGGTGGCCACACAGCATGACACATGTCCAGTGTGTAGGAAGAGTTTGAACGGAGAAGACAGCAGCAGCCAGCCCCCATCAGAGTCCCCCACCCTGTCTATGGACCCCCGCACACAGGAGAGATGGTCCTTCTGATACCCCCCCACCCGTCTGAGCCCTTAGTTCCCCTTGCCCACATCCACCACACGAGAAGACACAGCGCTTCTCACTCGCCTCCTTTCATCTCCGTTGCAGTTATAATCATCTCAGTCGGATTTTTGTACTTTTATTTTCTATTTGAATGCCTTTCTCCTCAACCATGTATACAGATTTCCATACAGACGTCTTAACGGTCGGTCGAGGTCAAGGAGACTCTTTTTGTTGTCGCATAAGAAACCAGCCTAGATTGATGGTGATGATCAAGCCCATGTCTTCTCTACTTCCATCCCTCAAGCAACCTCCTTTTCCATCTTTCTTAAAATGCACTGCTGCGTTACACTATTGTGGGGAAATGCCATACTTTATATCATATACCACGCCCTCTTTACTGAAAATGAGCTAAGTCCTGCAACTGAGCCCTGGACGGCATACGGGAGTACTGTAGGGTTTACCTTCACTCTTTGTATTTACAGAGTCTGGACTTAATAACACCTGTAGTCCTGCAATAAACCCTATGTCTAAGATCAATGATGCATTCCTGTTGAGATTTTCTCAGGAAGAACCTGATTAACTCTTGTTCTATTGTTTATTCTAAAGAGGTCCACGTTATTGCGTCCATCCTCTGTAACGTACTTTAAGAACAGGACACAAAGTATTTTATAGACATCAGTTTGAGTCGCTGCTGTAAAATGGCCTCAAATAAAGCTGTGACTTCAAATGAAAGTCACAGCTTTCTGGGAACACATCAAACACCATACCTGTAAGGGAATGAAAACCGCCCTTTATTGAATGATTAGGATTGAAACATTCTCCTCCGAGTGTATATATTATAAACAAATGGCATCCCTCTGTTTTATTCCTCTGTCTTTTGTTTCAATTTTTTTTTATCACTTTTTTTGATGTAAATAATTTTAGTCCAAGTTATGGTTTGCAAAAGGAAAAAAAAATGGAGACACAAATGTGAAATACCTGGTTATCGAACTGTATATTATATATATGAAAAATGTCTATGATGTATTAATAAATTGACCAAAAAGATTCCTGGTTCGATTTTTCCTCCGCGCCCAAAGATACTTAAAACTTATATTTTAAGACAAATGCACTTTATTTAAAGATTAAATAGCAAAAGCATGAAGCATTTACAATCAGCATTTACAATTTCTGTACATCATTTATATTCTTTCTTTAGATATTGTAAGGACACTTAAACCATTTTAAAGCTGCCGATCAAGGCACCAGCTTCAACACAGGTCATCCTGGAGAACCAATACATACATTCAGTACTTTCTAAGATCATTCCTGATAGGAGTCAGTGCAGAAAAAAGCATTTTTGGCTTTGGAATAAAAGTCAAATTAGTTGAAAATACTCAAGTTTGCTGACGTTAATTTAAGAGAAATCGCCAAAACTGTGCACTGAAGTACAGCAGATAATAAATCAATCTTGCAACCAATTAATTAGAAACGGTGTGTGAGAGAGAATCCAACATTGCGGCATTTTGACATATGAATAGAGACATTTGTTTTTGAGTAGGAACAAATGTATGTGAACTTGTATTAAGGATTATTGTGTATTCCAGGCAAGAGTGATCAATGAATGGTCCGGTACTGTGGAGGAGATGTAACCCACAGCGGGATCCCAGACTTCAAAATGGATCACGGTCGATGACCTACAAAACCCAAACACACAATTTCCTTTTTCATTCAATTTCCTTTCTTCCATATTTTACACCAACACACATTTGACTTACCTGTTGAGAACGATGAGCACCACTGAGCCGTCTGGTCTGATGAAGGCAGTGTATTCCAGATCTGTGTGCTGATTGGCCAACACACCCACTCTCTGAGACCCCTCCAACAGGAACTTACTGTGTAATAATGTGATTTGGTTAGATTTCATTTGACCGTCTCCTTGAAATATTGGAAGACATGAAAATGCTGTTCCTGTTATATGAACAAAGATGACGTTGTTTACCTGAAGTGGGCGATGCTGTAGAAGTGTGGCTGCTTGTAGAACACATCCCGCTTTGCGTCCACTATAACAGGGCTGTCCACAAAGTTTTTAACCCAGTTTGGCCCACCAGTCTGATCCAACGCCAGGTTCCAGTCAGTCCAACCCACCACATAATGATTTAAGTCCTGCCGCAGAGAAAACACCCACAGTTAAGCATCTAGTCTGGGCTTTAACTTTGTATTAAGAGGCGGTGTTTTGTTTTAATGAATCACCTGGACTGGTGCCTGGTGTTTTGTTTGAATGTCACAAAGACAGCAAATCTACATAAACAAATCCCTCCTGATTCTCAAGATGTCTAGATCTGAAAGCACTCATGCAAAATGGAGGGAGTCCTATTTCATTAGAGGGAGAGTGAAGAAAGGAGAAACAAAACACCAGTCCCAGCTCGCAGGCCGTTTCTGAAGAGTGTAAACCTGCACTGCAGCATCCAGGGAGGGGATTCACCTTTCAGGATCACCTCACATCTTTTTTTTATTTTAAATCCATCACACTGTCTCATGCAAAGATATAAGCAGGCCTCACCTCTATAATGTCCCGTGCGTAGTGTTCAGCCCTGTCCCAGCCGCCCAGCTTCACCCCTCTGTCTAGTGGGCTGAAACCAGAGCAGGCCTCGGTGCCAAACAGGTAATACTCTGGGAAGAGATGGTGTGTGACTCCCAGGCTGATCTCTGCTGGGACCAGGCTGTCCAGGTACCAGTGGACCGCAACGCCGTGAACGTACTTTCCTGCGTGAATGTCACTTAGGACCTGGAGGGACGAGGGGAGAAAAATAAGTGAGTTTCCACATAAAATGCAGAGGTAGTCATGAAGCATTACTAAGCTTGCTCAAAAGGGGAAGGGGGGGTTCTACGGTATTCACTTACAATAGCGATATTTTCTCTGGCCTGCATCTACATCTACGAACGAAAAGTAAGTCTGGTGCAAAATTATGGACAAAAGGCCCTTATTTATGGACTTATAGTCATCACCATCTGACCTTAGCAAGCACTTCTTTTATTCTGAGTGCTACAGTAGCTAAGAAGCGCATGGTCTCACAATAGGCAAGGGTTCATTTTACCAGAAACTTAAATGAACTTCAATTATGTGTTAGATTTTTTTATGATCTTCAAATCGTTTTAAATTGGGTTAACTTTATATTGCATCATATCTTAAGTTATCCAGTCGTAATGATTAAGCCATTTTCTTGTCTTATTCTGATTTATGATACAATTCCTAATTTCCTTCCTGCAGCGCCAGAGTAGCCTCAGGTACAACAAACTTTATTATAACTTTGCCAACTTCCTCTTCGTCCTTGGACTCACCACTTTAGCCCAGTGAGGCAGCAGCAGGCGGTTGTCATCCAGGATGAGGACGTGTGTGTGTGGGTATGAGGAGGTGTGAAGGGCAGGGCCCAGGTCCAGAGCCACCCAGTCCCTCTGCTCCTCAGGAGTGAAGCCCAGAGCCTGGAAACTGCAAGATACGATACTTCTTAGTCCGTTGTGAAATCTAGGAGTGATGATAATTCTGTGTAATATTATGTGAAGAGAGACCTGTAGTTTGTTATGTGTCCTGCAGAGGGCTCATTCCCTGTGGTCAAAGCCCAAAAGGTCAAGTTATATTTAGCATATTCCTCCAGGAACCTGAGAGGGAAGAAAAAAGTGACAGAATAAGTTCCCCTTGGATGAAGCATTACAAACATGTGATGTTGCATTAAGGTAAAGCCCAACATGTCACCTGATATAGTACAGGGCCCAGGATTTGTGCTCCTTGCCCCCAGGCTGGCCCTTCAGAGAGCCTTTTCCTATGAGGGCCCCGTTAGTTTTCATCCAGGCGGGGGCGCTCCAGGCACTGGCCAGCAGAGACAGAGGGACAGGAGACAAGGCCTGAGCCCGCTGCAGGAGAGGGATCTGAGAGGAGGAAGAGGAGGAGGGATTCCTACTCATTTTCAAATTCTAAATTCCAAACTTTTCCCGACTCACATTTCATGAATTCCTGACAAAAAAAACTCGCTAGATGTTTAGCATGTTAATATCAATCCAATTATCTATATGTACATCACATTATGACTATGTATGCTATTTCCAGGAGAAGGTGGTTAGGTACTGTAGGTACTGTAGCTCATACAAATCTGTTAACAACAAACCCAGACATGTTTAAAGCATGGCATTTAATGGACATCAATTGATTTTGCTTTATTGGTTTTTGGAGATGGAGTAAAACAGACTTTAAACACTGTTAAACAAATACATTGGAGACATTTTCAATATTAATTAGAAATTATATTTTAAAAGAGTGCCTTTCACACAAAATGTAGAAAGCAGGTCCAATAGCCATGGTAAACACTCTGCTTGTATGATCAATTCACTAATGTACATTTGAATTTATTTTTTAGAAAACATAAATAATTTATAATAACAATAGTCTGAATAAAACACAACAATGTATTTTTTCTCATTTTTTTTCCTATACTTATCAAGAGCTGGAAATCCCTAATTTCTCACACTGTGTAGGCAGCATAGAGTTATGGATTGAAGGTATGTGAGAGTAGGAGATTATATTGACCTTCATTTTGATGTCCTCGGGGGCCAGCGTGAAGTTGTCTAGGTTGTAGTCTCCAGGTGTGTCGGCATACGTGTACAGACGGGTGGAGAAGTCACAGCTGGCCATGGGGACACGCACCACGCTGTAACCAATACCTGCCAGACACACAGCATCAAAATGACTAAAGGCTGCATTATCATTCAGCACCATCCCTAGTGACCCTCGGATTGTTATGAGATGTATCTGGGTTTTTTCACTACACTTGTACTTTTCCCTTCTTGCATTGTTGACATAATCAATAAAACCAGTTGATCATACAGAATATAATTGTATTGCTAACATGTGTTTGTTGCTTTTGGTTCTTTTACAATGTCTATTCACTGGATTATTTTTCTGGATAAGTACTAATCAATCAGTTCAAATTAAAAAATACAATAATAATAATATATTAAAAACAATTTGTCGTCTTATCGTTGTCGCTCTACTAGTTTTCACTTATAAGCAGTATACTAATAATTGGTTTAGAATATCAATATCCCTACTTTTGCATAAAAAGTGGTCATTTCTAGGAGTCTTTTTACGCTGCTATGGACAATCTTGCACTAATGTACATTTCCCAAAGATATTAAATTGACTGTTATTTTGTATATATTGATTGTTGTGCTTTTATTTATGTCTTAATGTGTGCATATGTATAAATGTGTCTGTTGTTATATATAGGATATACATATTTTATATATATATTTGGGATTGTGGGAAATTGTGGGTATTTCGATCTCTCTGTCTGTACACACAAACTGAACGATTGACAATAAAGTTGACTTTGACTTGACTTTTACTGAGTGTACCTTCAGGGGAGAAGTACTGGCGCAGCAGCTGGTCCTGTGCCCCGGCAGAGAGAGACAGGATGTTAATGGCTGCTGCGTCCGTCATGGCTCCACCGAACCCCCTGATCTTCTGGTACTTCTGGTAGGGAACGATGGTCAACCTGAGACCTGAAAGAGAAGAAAGATGCTCTGTATCGTAACTGTGGAATATTCTTAGAATTTTCTTCTAGATAAATCTTTAAATCCTGTTAGTCTATAAAATGTTACAAGTGGTCCAAGTGGTTGTTTAAGACTTAGTCAGCTAATACTTCTTCAATCAATAAGTCATTTTTAAAGCTCTTTAGCTGCTGAATGACTTATGACAGAGACACTTTTGAGCAGCTATCAGGTAAACAACATTTTAATTTTAGTGACAAATTCATGAGTGTGAGTCAAATACAAATCTTTTTTAGAGAGAACAGCCCTACCCAAGTGAATGTTTTGTTCACTAAACAACTATATTTAGTTTCCCGTCATAGTTTAGATCAGGAACCAGGAAGTCAAATATAATGTAAGAAGCTAAAATGGGAGAAATGTACAGATTAATCTATTCTCAAAATAGTTGGTGTTTGATTTAATAGATGACAACTAAACATTGAATTAATACATCTTTGCAGCTGTAGCTACAACTTCACAGACTCCCCGTCTCTCACCTGCCCCGGTGCTGTTCCCCTGGACCGCCCCCCCGCATGCCTCCAGTCTGCTGCCGGCCCTGCTGCTCAGGTAGGAGGAGAACTGTCCCAGAGGATGCAGGGTGACAGACCCCACACTGTCACAGTGGGTGGAATTGCACTCACACACCACAGAGTCATGGCCAAAGTTTCTGGCAACACATTCATTGCTTCCTGGATGGGGAAATAAGTCATAGATACAGGATTTTCTGTCTGAATTGATGCACAAAAGACATGTTTCCCTTAAAGCAACAAAAGAGGACACACACATTTGGGCAATTGCAACTTGTTCTATGTTACCTGTAGAGAGGGTCACTTCAGTTGTGAGGAAAACAAGAACCAAAAGTACTGATGAAGACAACGCCATTTTACCTGCAAATAAATAATGTTTCAGTGTTGCCAGGTAGAAATCATACAAAGTCAGCACCTGAATTGTTAAATACAGGTTAACAAAGACCCAACGGCTCTATTCATTTAGCTGACACACACATTTTATCGTCATGTCATTCAGAGAACATTATCTCACCTCAGAGGAAGCAGACAGAAACTCTGGCATGTCCCGCTGGTTAATTTAGAAAGTATTCACCCTCGACTGTCACCTTAACTTTGTCCAATCTGCCATACCAGCGTTTCCTCAGCCCCCTGTGTTTTGGCTTCAAACGGGACTTCTGGCCAGTCATGTGACTTTTTAAATACCACGTGACCAACCTCGCAGTAATGTAGACAGCCGCCAGGTGACGCTGTACCATAAACTAGGCTAAAGGAGTTAATCAGTTTGACTGCAGCTGACTTTTTAAGAAGAAGTTAGCAAAGACATTACGTATGCTATTTCGTGTATATTTAAGTATATTATACAACCTATTTATTCGTATTGCAATAGCTTTGTCAAAGTAAAACATTGTACGTTTGAAAATATGGGTTTACAAGTATTTCTGCACTAATTTCCCTCCTAGCTTCCCAACTCAACAAAAAGAAATTGTTATAACTAGGTGGCAGATTTAAAAATTTTCATTAATAAAGGAGGCTTTTCAAATCCATAGTCCTAGACCTAATATTTTCCATGGCATCTATCAGATGTCCGAACACTAAAAACTGAGGTAATAGAAAATTAAGACCGCATTTTGAATTTACAGTTTTTTTTAAACTGATGCCAAATTATTATCCAACTTCCTTTAATTAAACAAGCAAAGTACTTTTTTATATTATTCAACATTTTATTATCAAAGAAACACACATGCATCATATTTTATAGATATTATGGACACGGACATTTGTATATTCATGTATTCACGACACTGGTATTGATGGGTGTGATATTTGTGTGTGTGTATGCTTGTGATTTATATTTGTGTGTGTGTATGCTTGTGATTTATATTGTGTGTGTGTGTGTGTGTGTGTGTGTGTGTGTGTGTGTGTGTGTGTGTGTGTGTGTGTGTGTGTGTGTGTGTGTGTGTGTGTGTGTGTGTGTGTGTGTGTGTGTGTGTGTGTGTGTGTGTGTGTGTGTGTGTGTGTGTGTGTGTGTGTGTGTGAGATAGTTATTTGTGTGTGAGAGAGGGATTCAGGTCTTTATAGTGAGGCACAAATTCTGTCCATCATTGATGGATTTCTGTTGCACAGAAAGATGATTTCTTTCTTTCCTTCCTCTGTTCGACCTGAAGAGGGGGAAGAACATCATTTAGAGTTAATAAACATCATCACATAAACATATTTTCATATGAAGATAAACATCCACAGTAGGATCACTCACTCTGTGGATGCTGCAGCCACTGGCGGTCCATCCAGTAGAGGTAACAGCTCTCAAACTCCTTCTCGCTGTAGTTGGGCACCGACACCGGGAGGAACGGGTCCATGCTGTCAAACCCTCTCTGAAGAGCAAAACACACAGGGAGTCAACATCCAGAACATCAATCTCTAACATTATCAGAAAATATCACTTTTTAGATGCAATAAATCAACAACTTTGAACACATTTATCATTATATAATCAAAGTCGAGTATTAGCAGATAATTGCATCTTGAAACTATTTTAATATAAGTTTTTGATCATTTGTCAAGAAATAAAGGCTAAATTAATTAATATTATGCAATTATAACATCACATTATGTTCTATTTGGGTGAAGTGGCAAGATTGTTATATGACCCTTCTATGATACACAGTTTAATTGGTGTCCAGTTGTCTGCAGTGTGCATCAATTTATTTAAATCCTAAATCTTAAAACGACTTTAGCACACCAGTTCTGAGGAGTGAAGCAGTCAAAAGGCCAGGTTTGATATTTACCCGACAAACGACCAGAAAGAAGTAAGACTCATCTGCTGTCAGAGCGTGAGGACAAGAGCTAAGCAAAGTACATAAAAATGTTCTCTGACCTCTCCCAGCAGCTCTTGAGGCAAGTAGTCAAATCTCGAAGTGTAGAGAGACCCCGTCTGAGACAGAGTGGTGATGATGGCGCCTCCAGTCTGAGACAAAGAGAGTATATGTCAACTGGGAACAAAATACTAATACAAACACAATATCTTTTTCTTATGCAACTCTTTAGTGCTTTCTGCTCACCCAGTCCTTTGTCAGCAGCTTCTTCAGGTTGTAAACCAAAGTCAGCTCGTCTGATTCCACCTGATGATGGTGAAAAGAGAACAGGCAACACCTCTAATCAGTCCAAACTGAAAAAAGACAAATATGAGGTGTGACAGGATTGTTCTTGTGTTTCCTTACTGGACTCTTATCCTTCTTCTTGATGGTGGACCTTCCCCACAGGCCGTTCACACCGTCCACAGCCACGGCCATGCGGAAGTCTGACTCCGGCTGCCCGCTCTGCAGCCTCAGCTCCTTCAACACCGCCCCCACCACGTCACTGCTGCTCTTCACACGAGATATGCCCTACAGCATAAAAAAGATATACCATCAGACCCCTGATGAAATTTTCTTGAAAGCAACTAAAGGGCCCACTACACCAAGGCGACACATCAAAGCATGTTTACAGATCTTGAATAGTACTACTGCATGGGTACAAATAGTTGTATGATATACATAAAGCAGTTACTAACATAACACAACTGAACTTTTTGCTGTCAGGAGGATGGCTATTAATATCAGATCTATTTACAGCCTACAACAGAGACCAAACATTCATTTTTTGTGACAAGACAGACAAATTAGGACAGCACCAATGTCTCATTGTTTCCTTATTAGGGAGGAGAAGTAGAGAGCAAGTGATTGGAAGATGTTTAAAAATTCACAAGCTGAACATAAATCTACTGCTTTTTTCTGCCTTTGTCAGTGACTATGGTCCAAAGATATTGTGCTGATCCATCTCCATGCTCAGTTCATTGGCTATTGATTACCGCTAAGCACAGGCAATGTGAGAGATGACATTTTAATGACCCATGTGGGGAAATTGGTAGGGCATAAGTAGGGAAGAATAGGTAACAGACAGAAAATACAACAAACTGATGAAAATGTCTCAGAGTAAGATAAATCACATTTCAAATGAACACAAAAACAATATTTAGAGCCAAAGAAATGTGTGAGGAAGCCCACCTGATCCACCAGCTGTCCTAGTAAACTCCCCTCCTCAGTAGACTCTCTCTTTGTCCACACATAGCGCTGCTTTGTCTTTATCTGGGACAAAAGAAACAGTTTTATTGAATATGCGTGCATGGGCTAGCTCCTCATTTTACTTCGTGAACCAGGGCTTTGATGTTTTTTTCACATAAAGCTAGCAATCTTTTAGTTTGTTCCATGATGCCAAATACATTAATTTATATTACAACCCAACCATAATCAATGTAGGAAACTACATAGAACTTCTTTATTGATATTCATTTTGACACTGTAAAGAAAACTTAAGTACCTAACATCCTCCATCCCAATACATTAAAGTATAAAATGTTCTCCACCAATAATAAACCTCTAACATATCATGCTGTTATATTGCTCCTGCTCCACGCAAAGACACAGTGCTTTTACAGCAGTACATGTGGGTAAATGCAGGTGGTGTCATAAAGCTTAGGTTTAATGGCCTTATGTGTATCAGCATGTGACCTAAACTGCTGTGAGATGCAGTCACGGCTCATTTAAAGCTTATAAATGCCTACATGCTTGGTTTTGTGACACATTGTGTTATACTTACAAGCCTTCATTTTGACTATGTATACTCTCAGTCATCAAGTTCGTATTGTAAAATTGCAGCCTGTATAAATAGTACCTAATGACTGAAGTTTACTAAAGCACAGAAAATAATTGCCTTTGAGAGGAAGGGCTCGTTTGTGATTCTGAAGTTGCGTAACCAGTCAGAGGCCTGCAAAGGCTGATCAAAGCGAGTGTCGTTATAGGATGAAGGCATCAGCTCCTTACAGTTCTTCATCCAGATGTGAGCTGTATTAGAAAAAACACAGAAGACATAGAAGAGTCAATGTTGATACTTTCTGTACAGAGGCAGCAGTTGATCCACTAGTATGTGTTTGTGTTATTCTTACCATCAGGAACATGCAGCACCAGCCATCCCTGTGTGTAGCAGTAATGGACTGTGTGACAGAGAGACATTGTCTTCCCAGTGCCATTCAACCCATCTGAACAACTTGATTAAGGTTAACAACAGGTTAATCAGAATATCAAGAGAAGAAGAGCATGATTATCTGAGTGAGTGGGAGGTTGTGTTGTAAAGGATACAGAATAAATATCGCAGCGAAGGTTTGCTGAAGTCTGTTTTCTTCAGGTAAGAGATGACCTCGAGAGAAGGCTTCCTCACCATCATACAGGCTTCATTGAACGTCTTTAGCTAAAAAAAAAAAATGCATGACAATTTCTCTTTAGAGTACATCTTAAAAATAAAGTCACAAAAACATAGTAAGTTTAAAAATAATGTGCATGCACAGACACAAGCACATACCTGTTGTTGATAGCGCCCTGGGAGACCGTGAGGGAACAGGGTGCGGATGTCTGTGGAGGGCAGTGTGTAATACTGTCCCATATGCTGCTCTGAATGACATGCCTGGAAAGAGAAGGACAGTAAGCATGGCAACTGAAGTCGTTCAAATGTACAGACAACTGCTGCTACAAACAAATCTGATTCATCCAAGCAGGTTAGCTGCTATTCCCCTGCAGGTAAGTATTTTGAAGAGTAAAACCAGGTCTGCTTACCGGATCATTCTCTCGTGTTCTGAATACTGAGAGCGGCTCAGGTTCTGACTCTACAGCCTCAGCCGCCTGCTGCTGCCCACAGCCACTGGTGTGAAGGGACCGAACATGTGTTGCCTGTAAACATTTAATATAGTAAATATTTTTATTAAAATGCTTTACATCAGGTGCCTTGCCCACATGGGCCATCAGGACAATATTTAAAAAAGGAGAAAACAGAAAAATAATACAAACAGAATACATGGTATTTAATAGATACGTGTCAAAACTCATTATATCAGAAGCCGCCCAATTAAAGATAGAGTACAACACCTTAATAGAGCGACGGTGAACCTTTAGCAAAAGGTGAGCCAAGTCAAACGGCTTGTGTGTAAACATGTGCTATGATCTACATTCATGTAGATCCGACTTAGATATGTTGGGAGTATTTGCAGGAATATACAAGAGTATCATGGTAAATAAATAGAAGAGCACACAGGTGATGCTTTCTTGACATAAAAGTACTGCTCTGGAAGAAACATGTGCCAGATGACAA